CTCCCCGYGCCGGGGAGGTCCAGGCTCTAGCTTCTTCCATACGGCTGTTTGTACTTAGCAGGAATTCAGGGGAGCTGGATAAAGCTAATGAGGTGGCTGCTTTAAAGCACTTGGTCCCACAAGTACAGCAGACCTTACCASAGATGGAAATCTGCTCAATTTGGTATGGCCACGAGGGCAAGCCACAAAATATTTAAGCAGTGTGATGCAGATGTGTCTCTTCTTCCAGCTGTGCCAAGAATAAGGCAGACTACACCCCTACAGATGCTGCCAGTGAGGGCTGTGGTGGAAGTGCGAGCCCCTGAAATCACAGGGGAAGCCTCAGCCGGGGGTGCGCATGCGAGCTGGTTTCTGCTGCCACCTCTTCGCTGCAGGGAGCTGCCTGCACAGGCTGCSCTTCTCCTTGCCCATGCGCCTACCTGGGCAGGTGCCGGGGACAGAGGAGTCACTTCAAAAGCAAGAAAATCAGATGTGGGAGCCTTGCCCCGGGAGCCCCTGCCCAAGGGGCGCCCGCAGGCCGAGGCCGGGCAGCTGCTCCTCACCTCCACACAYGGAAGCGGGCAGGACACGCGGCACCGCTCTTGCCCCAGTGCGTCCAGGCGCTYGGAGCCTCTCCCGCGGAGGGGACCCCGTTCCAGGCTGTGGGCAGCGGGAATGCCGAGCGGGCCCGGGGCGGGCGCCGGCACCGCCGAGCACTGGGCTTGCAGGCAGCGCTCGCAGGGCTGGGGCAGAAACCTCCCTGCGGGGGAGCAGCGCTGCACAAGCGTTCGTAGGCCTCAAAATGCTTCAAAAACTGAGGACCTTAAATAGTGAAAAAGGTCAGTCGAAAAGACCAGTAGCCGCAGGGCATCTTTTGGTTGCTGTGCTTTTACCCACTGGTTTAAGACAAGGGAAGCAAAATCAAAAATCTGCAAACGCTTTGAGGACAAATTAAAATGAGTTAAAAATCACTGTTTCCTTTGAGGGGTGGGATTTCACCTGTTTCACTTGGGTAGCCTTTTTCTTCTTATGCGAATTGTCCTTGGAAATGTCCTCAAGCGGCAAAGTGGGAAATCCTTTAATGTCACGTGGCCCCCAAATTTTGTTTTCATTCAAGATCTTGAGTTTCCACTCAGAGAACCTGCATGTGCTTTCAGGTCTATTCATTAAATTCAAATGCCTACAAGAACCCAGGCACTTTGTCTCAGAAAGAGCCACAGGTCGAAATATGCAAAACATCCCGATTGGAAACACTTCATTGAAACACTTCAATAACTGACTTCCCCCTCCTTCAAAGTCATAGGGAAAATGTGTGAAAAGATCAAATGCATTTGGCTGAAATGGAATATTTTGTCCCCATGATAACTGCTAATAGGATTTTTAAAATGTTACAAGGGCAAGAAAGCTGCCTTCATATAAATGTAAAAATAAAAATGCCTCCAGCAACGGGCATTAGAGCTACTGGCTTCCAAAACGGCTTAAAAAAAAAAAAAAATCTCTGTGTGCTTGTGATATGGAATCATGTCTTAACAAAATCTGCTTTGGAGCACTCAGCAGGCTGTCCGCAAACAAGGAAGYGACGTCTCGGCATCTCCCCGTGCCCAGCATTGAAGTGACGGCTTTAGAGCCAATGAAATTCAATGCAAAAAAAATAAAAAATCACTTTTCCAGGAATCCACGAAACAGCCGAATGTCCAGCATTCCCAAGGCTCAATGCGCTCCGCTATCCTGAGATGCCTTCAGAAACCCCGGGCTCTATTTGCTAAAAGAGCTTGCAAATATCGGCCGTTCGTTTGCCTGGTCCATAGCAAGATCTGGAGTTTGCCTAGATTTTCCATGATTCCCCAGGCAGCAGATCAGCAGAATAGGATGCCGCTCAGCCAGGACTCATTGCTTGCTAGACTGCATGTTGTTAGAAATGGTAGTAGCACTGCCAGCTGCCCAGGGAATTTGCTCTTCAGTGCCAATTTTTGTCATAGGAATGGGGACTTACTCCCTTTATTCCCTTGGACACCTTGGAAATGTCTAAGCCTCACAGGTTGGTTGCTTTGTTTGCTTTCTCGGTGGCCTTTTTCCTGAAGAGCAGCAGTGCAGAGGTGAGAAAGGGGACTGCTCTGTGAAGGGTGGCAGCTTTGGGGCACACAGCTCCCAAACCTTCTGTCCTAGAGGTTTTTCTAAAGCTCAGATGTGGGTAAATTCTGCTCTGCTAGATGGGACTCCAGCGTCTCGCTGCTCCCCGGTTCTCGTGCTCCTCCCCACCTCCTCTCAGCACCTCCTCATGTCACCGTGCCTTCATGTGGGTTATGAAACGATGCCGTTACTGGCACATTGACGCTACTCCCATCTTGCATCCTGTAAGACCGGTCTCTTTGGAGGGGGTAGTTCATTTTGTAACTTTTCTCGTGATTCCAAGGTAGGTTTCTCCTGAGGAGCGAAGGGGTGGCGACCGAGGGAGCAGGGATGAGCAGGAGTCGATTTCACCATACCAGTGCTTTAAGCGGTCAGAAACATGGTTTTCCCCTACCTCTGAGCTCTCAATGCTGCTAAAATCTCTGCCATTCGTACCACGTACTCCAGCCCCTCTCTTGGACTGACTCTGGCGCTGTTTGCAAGATATCCACGTTGTTCTGAAGCATGCACCTCTTTCTGTATAGTTCCGATCTTCTGATTTTATGGAATAAAATACTTATGCCTGTTTACATTACGGTCAAAATAAAAAAGTGAACTAAAACCTAGTGGACTCTGTTCTTCCCTTCTCTCAGGGCTCTTGATGCTAGATGGCGTTTCCTGTGTCCTGGCCTTTCTCCATTTGTCTGCTTGAGCTTTAATAAATAAATAAAAGGCAGGATGGTGGCAGTGCTGGGGAGATCTGTTTGTCTGCAAGACAGAAACACTTTGCTGTGACGCTCTGTGACTTGAGCTGCGGGTGGCCGGCGGAATGGGACTGTGGACACGGGGCGGTCGTGCAGTGCAGGACGGATTGCCATGGACATGACCAGGAGGGACAAGCACAAATGTGGGTTAAATCCATGCTGTGCCTGCGTTGCCCGCGAGGCGCAGGGATGGCGGGAGCGGGGTCTGCGGTCCCCGCTGCCATCCTCGCTGTCCTCTGCCTGCCGGCAGTGCCCGGAGCAGGGACACGGCTGCGCCGGCCTGGCCTCCCGTGGGCTGCTCCTGCAGGGCCAGCGTGGCCCGAGGACAACGTGGCCACCAGCCCCACGGCACCTGCRGCTCCAAGGAGGCAGCGGTGCTGCCTGGGACATGGCAGGGGTGCCTCCCAGGGGACACCTCAGACATACCGTGCTGCTACCTCCGGGTCACCTCAGACACGGTGCTACCACAGAGACACTTCAGACACGGCAGAGGTGGCACCTTGGAGATCACCTCAGATATGGTGGTGGTGCTACCGCAGGGGGCACCTCACTATTACCTCTGGTGTCACATCAGACACGSTGCTACTTCAGAGGTCACCTCAGACCTGGCGCTAGCTCAGGGCACACCTCACACATGATGGCGGTGCTACCGCGGGGTTATCTCAGACGTGCTGCCACCTCAGGGCCACGTCGGACACGGCACTAGCCCAGGCTCGCGTCCACAGCCGCCTCTGCCGGCGGAGCAGGGGCCCAGCCCCGCGCCTTAGCGCCGCTCCCGCCGGGACGAGCCCCGCGCCTGCCGCCCGCAGCCAGCGCCGGCCGCTCGCCGGGGACGGCGCCTTCGCAGACGCTCC